CTAACTGGCAACTTAATTGCTTGAGGGTGGTAGGAGACTTTAACATATGCATCCAATTTATCTAAGATTTTAAAAACAAACAAGAAAGCCCAGGGGAGAGAATACATGGGACTGGTTTGACTAGGTCTATTCTGTAGCTTTTTATTGAATAGTGTGTTTTAAAGTTACTATCAAGCATAATTTCTCTGTCCTTTATAAAAAGTGTACACCCTCTACATATACATTAGAAAAATTTTCATGGTGTGCACCACAGTCTGAGCAGCAAACATGAAAATTTAATGTCTTTGGAAAAAGAAAGACATATTAATCAAAAATAAGCAAAATGTCCTTCTCCACTAATCTATATACAGAGAGTCCACTGCACACTCAGAATAAATTGATCAGCTAGTAAGGGCCTACAGGCAGCCAGAGGAGCATTACAAGGCATCTGATACTGGCCACTTTCAGAGCTAGGTTCCTATGGCCCCAATGTAGCCTTTCTGCAGCAGATCTCTCAGGCATATTCCTGCCCTCCTATGGCCAATGAGTATCCAACAATCCTTACTCAGGCAAAAACAAAAAGTCTCAAACAGATCAATAGCAAGGAGAATATCCTCGTTAATTCTTCTACATTCCTATCTCATTTTTCTTGGGTTTGCTTAATGTAATTGAACTGAATGCTTATCTGCTTTCTATTCACAATACTGTATTGTGGTTTAAAGGTTTAAAATAATCAGCTGCATCTAGACTGGCATGATATTGCAGAAATACTGCATGATTTGCATTTAACAAAGTTGACTCAGCTAAAGCACTAACTGGCAACTTAATTGCTTGAGGGTGGTAGGAGACTTTAACATATGCATCCAATTTATCTAAGATTTTAAAAACAAACAAGAAAGCCCAGGGGAGAGAATACATGGGACTGGTTTGACTAGGTCTATTCTGTAGCTTTTTATTGAATAGTGTGTTTTAAAGTTACTATCAAGCATAATTTCTCTGTCCTTTATAAAAAGTGTACACCCTCTACATATACATTAGAAAAATTTTCATGGTGTGCACCACAGTCTGAGCAGCAAACATGAAAATTTAATGTCTTTGGAAAAAGAAAGACATATTAATCAAAAATAAGCAAAATGTCCTTCTCCACTAATCTATATACAGAGAGTCCACTGCACACTCAGAATAAATTGATCAGCTAGTAAGGGCCTACAGGCAGCCAGAGGAGCATTACAAGGCATCTGATACTGGCCACTTTCAGAGCTAGGTTCAGTTCCGACTTACATACAGATTCAACTTAAGAACAAACCTACAGTCCCTATCTTGTACGTAACCCTGGGACTGCCTGTATTGCTGATGATGGCACAGCCTTCAGAGCTGAGCACCCAACCAAGAGCCACCACTCTCCAGCCACCCAGCTCTGAAAGCAGAGCAGAGGTAAGGGTGGCAATACCACAACCCCCCAAACCTTCCTTTTGGATCAGGACCCCCAGTTTGTTTGTTTGTTTTGAAATGCTGGTCTTCCCAACAAAATCTGCTTAGTATAGGCTAAAAGCACACAAAAGAACAAATTTCATGGCAGGAGACTAGATTTCACAGTCCATGACACATTGCCTGTCCTGCAAACAGGTAGCTGCTATTGGCTGGAAACTGGCCAATGGGAGCTACTGGGGATGGGAGTAGCGTGAGAAACCTCTTCCCCTGGCTTTCAGCATTCAGAGATGCACATGGATCCACAGCCAGCTTTACTGAGGCTATGTCTACACTGCGGGTTTTTTTGCGGAAGAGGATATGCAAATGGAGCTCTCATTTGCATATCTTTTTCCGATTCTTTTTGCAAAAGAGGTTTTGCGGCTAAAAAGCCCCATGTAGATATGGCCATTTGTCAGAAAAAACCCTTTTTCGCAAGAGTCCTTATTCCTCAAAAATTGAGGTTTACAGGATCTTGCAAAAAAGGGTTGTTGTTTTTTCCCAACAAATGGCCACGTCTACATGGGCCATTTTTAGTGGCAAAACCTCGTCCGCAAAAAGAATTGGAAGAAGATATGCAAATGAGTTCACCATTTGCATATCCTCTTCCTCAAAAAAATTGCAGTGTAGACATAGCCTGAGTGCCGAGTGGTGGCAGGGCAGGCAGAGTGCTGGCTGAGGCTCTCGTGGGCCAGATTTGGCATTTCTGTGACTGGATGAAGCCCACAGAGCATATTTTGCCCAGCCCTGGTCTAGGCTATAGGGCAGCCCAAGATAGTGGAGTCTTTCCTTTATGGCTACGTCTACACTGGCCCCTTTTACGAAAGGGGCATGCTAATTTTAAACTTCGTAATAGGGAAATCCGCGGGGGATTTAAATATCCCCCGCGGGATTTAAATAAAGATGTCCGCCGCTTTTTTCCGGCTTGGGGAAAAGCCAGAAAAAAGCGTCTAGACGGGCCCGATCCTCCGGAATAAAGCCCTTTTCCGGAGGATCTCTTATTCCTACTTTGAAGTAGGGCTTTACTCCGGAGGATCGGGCCAGTCTAGACACTTTTTTCCGGCTTTTCCCCAAGCCGGAAAAAAGCGGCGGACATCTTTATTTAAATCCCGCGGGGGATATTTAAATCCCCCGCGGATTTCCCTATTACGAAGTTTAAAATTAGCATGCCCCTTTTGTAAAAGGGGCCAGTGTAGACGTAGCCTAATGAGTATTGATGAGCCATAAACTTCTATCTGGCTACTCCACTGTTGTACCTGAAAAGCTAGTTGTGTGTGATCCGAACCTCATTTCATTTTTCAGAAGCAGAATACAAAGCAAAACTTCATAATTTCACATCCAATACTAGCATGCACAATCCAACAGGATAATAATCAGCTGATCAAGATTTTTAAAATGATCCCTCACAAGGCATGGTTTGTACAAACCTAACATAATTACATGGCAAGAGTAAATATGTGAGTTTCAGGGTGCTACTCTGAGGTACATAGTGTCACAGTACTGGTGACTGAAACACTTATCCCAGATTTGTCTGGCATCTCTACAACTAGATAATGAGATATTGTGTGTCAGAGGCCCAATCTGGCACAAATACTTTCAAAAATTATGTGGAAAATAATTTTTGCTGACAAATTTTAAGCTGGAAAAATATAACTTGTTCATGTTTCTCATATAGTACAAATGAAGTGTAGTTGGCGTTTGAGCCAAAGAACAAAAAAGCTTGTTTTGCCCCGACAATAAATTTAAAGAGGTTTTTAGCATTTGCAGAAAACAAAAACAGAGTAACAAATCTAACTAAAACAAAAACGAGCAAAAACAAAAACAAAAAAGAGATATTTTCTTAAGTAACTCTTCCTGATGTTTTGTTAATTTTTTTCATTACTGCAGATTCTTTACTACTTACATGTACTTACTGCTTACATGTAGTTTTATTAGTATCTATTCCCCAAGTATGTTCAAATTATGTAACAGAACAGCAAAGCTGTTGAAAGAAGGAATCAAGTCAAGCTAATTACTTCATGGATATTTTACTAGTGAGAGTAAAAAGCATCTGGAAGCTGAAGGATTTCTACAGATAATGCGAGCAGTAAAGAGAATCCATCTGACAAAATACACTCATGATAGCTGAAAGAGAAATTCTTAAAATTATATTTTCTTCCACTATGCACATTTTTTGTCATTGGACTGTAAGTTCTTCCCTTCAACTCTGGCCTGTGCCTACCTACCGTGTTGAGTGGCATTACAACCATTACATTCTGAATAAATTTTGATGGATAAAATCTGACAAAGACCATTTGACAAAGGCTGCCACTAGCAGCATGGATGGTGTCTACATACTGTCCAGATTCTTGCCGCCAGCCCTGCAGTATTCCCATCATTTCCCAAAGCTGATGTGCCATTAGTCATAATAGGCTAAATATTATTCTTATATGCAGAAGCCAGTGGGAGCCATCAAAAGCTATTAATGTAAATTGGAAGGCAAAATTTGGGCTAATGTAGTGAATAACCCAGCAGGTGTAGTTAAACGGAAAGACCTGGCAGTGCATTAATAAATCAGACTGCTAGCCATCTACAGTACCTAGAAATCCCACTGAAGTCAATGGGAGGTGTATGCATAATGATAGCAATGACGGGAACCAGAGTATGACTTGTATGACAGACACAGAATTGGTGAGAAGGCAAAAGTATAATTTCTTACCTAAGGTCTTTGACAGGATCATAGTAGGAGCAAGTGGCCCATCCTGCTGCGGGCACAATCTTGGCTACATTTCAGTTTTTAAACTGGTAGTTCAATCTGAGCTACCCTTAAATCTACCTGAGCTGGAAATTATACCAATGCCTGCTTTAGTATAGACCTACCGTAAGAGACATGTTTCCTCTTCTACACCATCCAATGCTCTTGTTGGTAGTCCCTTTGTTCAACCAATATACACTTTGAATATAATTAATTGTGGGAGGGGCAGGGTTTGGGTAGTAAGCTACAACAGGCAGCTTAAACTCTTGTCAAGACAATGTTAAGTTGTGCAGATCAGCCTTCATGGAAGCTCTTACTACTTGGCTTTGAGATGAAACAGCAAGAGGCCAGCCAGCATGAGCATGAGAATAGGTGCAACAGCCACCCCTTTCCCTCTGGTAGCAAGTTCTCTACAAGCCATTTTTACTTTTCCCTTTTGTCAAGAGCTTTTGTGGTCAGAACTTCTCCTTCATTTGAAAAAGCAGGATTCATTTTCACTGGAGGGAACCAAATTGGTATATATTCCTCATGCCCATGGTAACATCCATTATTGCATCATCTGGTTCCTTCTTCATTTATTTATCAAAAAGTGCATGACTCAGCCAAAAGGGGGCAGTTCCTAACTTTTGGAGAGAAGAGAGAAGCAGAAGTAATATCTAAACATGGAAGAGAAGACAAAACTATTACAGACTGTTCAATCTTGTACAATTGATAGAAAGGCAGATGTCCACAAGCAAGCTACTGCAGATAAGCACAGTCCTGTTAAATAACCCAAGTGAATTAGTATGATTTTGTAACAAGTTCAGATATTGCAACCTACTTTTTCATAGAAAGGAATTTCTTCTTTTAAATATTCCTCTCTCAAGAATTGATTTGAAAAGGCTCCAGTAAGTTGTTCTGCAAATTTTATAGTATTGGTACTGTGAGAGTCTCCTTCTGGATCAGTCTAAAATGAAGGAAATGATGATTTATTCCTATTAGGGTTGCCAGATGATTTCAACAAAAATACTGGACACACTTGACATTACTTCACAATCTACATTACATATTATTTAGAAAATATAAATTTTCTCATTTATATTTTCTCAATTTGTTTCCCAAACAGAAAGCTTAAATACTGGACTGTCTGATTCAAAACCAGGCATCTGGCAACCCTAATGCCCATTCCTATTTCTGTGATCAAATGATTGAAATAAAGTCTACCTGGTAGCAGCTGAGCTTCTGCTTATCTGATGAGATAAATGTTTTATCCCTTTGGTAGGGCCAGTACCTGGAATTATTTCATTGAAAATCCTGCCCAGCAAATTTCTTTCAACCTAGTACTGACCATATAGCAGAGGATAAGAATATTAGTTAGGATATTAACATTATCTTTGGTATCAGATTACTCTGCAAGGCACAAGAAGTATGAATCACTGGGTCCCTTGGTAACCTTCTCTTTTGTCTCTTCCTCCTCTCCCTCCCCTCCCCCTTTAACCTCCTTCCGCCTCAGCCAGCCTGCTGGATACAATATTCTAGTGAGATAAGATGGGTAAGGTAATGTGCTGAAGAATAGCTCTGTGGCCCTTGGGAGCTTGTCCAATAGAAGCTGATCCAATAAAAATATTACCTTCCCTATCTTATGCAGCTCATATTTTGGGATCAACACATCTAAAACAATACTGCAAACAATATTCTAATAGGAGTCTTAACAATGCTGTGTACAAGCGCAAGACCATTTCTGTAGGGCTGAAAATTCGAATATATTTTGTTTTTCTTACCTCCCCCTTCCCCCTGCTTATCCCAGGCAACTCTGGAGTCATGGGAGCTTAACTCTGTGCTGAACAGTGGTGACAAGAGTCTTTTGTCCTTTGTAATCCTTTCTTTGCTCAAAGGAAAAATCTGACCCTCTCTATACTTGGCATAGGCCAGTGTTTCTCAAAGTGGTCTGCAAAACCACTTTGAGAAACCTGCTACTGGCCACTCTGGACTGTTTATTTACTGGCTCCACAGCCACAGAGCCTCGCAGCTCCCATTGGCTCCGATTCGCCATTCACCATGTCTCCCCTTGGCTGCAAACAGCAAACCGGAGCCAATGGGAGCTATGAGGGTCTGTGGCTGCAGAGCTAGTAAACAAACAATCCAGAACAGCCAGTTAGCTAGTTTCTCAAAGTGGTTTCACGGACCACTTTGAGAAACACTGGAATAGGCTATTTTCCCCAGGGTGCTAGCTCAGCTGTGCTAATGGGCTTCTTAATCTCCTCTCCCGCCTCCCCTGGCCTCTGCCTGTCTATTCTCTGACCACCAGTGTTGGAAGGAAAGTAGTGAGCCCATAAACTACTGTATCTGCTACAATGAAACCTTGCACCCATTTACACCACATTATTCATGCATTTGCTGGATCATCATATAGCCCTATGTAAGGCGATGAAATCAGTAATTTACTTACTAAGGCTAATTTATCACGTATGTATAGTAGCCTGTTCATCAATGAAGCAACTATTACATTAGAAGTGCCCTCTCCTTTCAAGTTGCAAATATTTATTGTCAAGGATAAAACTAGTATAGCAAGCCTGGTACTAAATACCTACTGTATAGTAGAACACAGCTCTAGGAGAGTGATTATGCAGAACTGATTGTATCAAATAGTGAATGTTTACTACTGCATGTAGCCTGTATCCCATTTTGTGAAAGCTAGAATTCAGACTAATGGTTGTTCTTATTTGTTCATTTTGTTTTTTCAAATTCTATCAGAAAATGGACCCCGCCTACTTGTGGAATCAGAACAAACAAAAGTCTTCTCACATAGGGGTGGCAACATCACACTACCATGTAAATTTTACCGTGAACATGCATCAGCTGGCTCAGGAAAAATCCGGATCAAGTGGACCAAACTCACCTCTGATTACCTCAAGGAAGTTGACGTCTTTGTTGCAATGGGACTCCACCAAAAGAGTTACGGAAACTACCAGGGCAGGGTGTTTCTGAAAAAAAGCAGTGAAAATGATGCTTCTCTTGTAATAATAGATATAACACTGGAGGATTATGGGCGATATAAATGTGAGGTGATTGAAGGATTAGAGGATGACACAGCAGTAGTATCTCTGGATTTACAAGGTAGGTAGTATTTACATTACAGATTTCTGGAACATTAACCAACACATCCCTTTCCAAATAAATATACAAAAGAAAAAAAAATGAGGAGTCAGGTGGCACTTTAAAGACTAACAAATTTATTAGGATATTAGAGCATAAGCTTTTGTGAGCTACAACTCACTTCCTCAGCTAAAACATAATGGTAACTGCAATGGCAATGTAGACTAGAGCTCATATTCTTACTCTATTTAGCAGTTACATTTATTATTTTAATATATATTGTGATTGGTTTTTTTAAATGAACCACTATCTACCTTAATGATATGTCTTTGATCATTAGAAATCTACTCAGGAAAATATGTGAGGGTGATTATAAAATTATTGAATAACAGTCAATCCAAAAAGTATATTGATCACAATGGGTCATATGATGTCACCCATACTCACATTGATTAGTACTTTTCACTGCTAATTACTCTGCGATTACTGAGGAGTAAAGTATTGCACATGAATGGGGGAGGCAGAATTGGTTTGCAAGCTATTACCTCCTTCTCTTGCATAATCGTTTCTCTAATAGCTAATGCACAGTGTAGGCTGAAGTTGATTTTTCTTTTACAATCATTTAAGAAAAAAGGAGAAATTGTTTGTTTGTTCCTAGTCTGCAGTATATCAATCCATGAATGATTTAAGATCTGAACATATGCATGCCACCTCCCATCTGCTAATCCACTACTACTACATTTAAAGCTGCATTCATATGTTGGTGAAAGCAAGGGCTTCGTTTAACAATTCAGACCTGCTTTGTACGTTCTTAGGTCACCCTCTTCAAAAAAGCATAGGTCATTCTATATTTTTGTTGTTCACTCCATTTTAACCCTTTTCCTTTGCATAGGACTTTATGTCCTCCTTGATGTATTATTTTTGGCCACATATATTCACACTAATATGAAATGTAGAATTATTTTCAGAATCCCCAATCTTCAAACTCTCAAGAGCTTTCAATGAATAAACTTTGAATAGACCCTTCACAGATTTCTGCAAATTGTGTTTATCTCCAGCTTGTAAATTTGCTGGAACAACACTGGTATAGTATGCCAGGTATGGTATGTCAGCTACACAACCATTTAGTTTCATTCTTACTTTGTTAAGTTTTTCTCAGATACTGAGCTGTGCTTGCAATGTGGGATAGGTAAAGTTCTTTATGGGTAAAGTTCTTTATTGTATGCTTTGGTATTCATTTATTTGCTAACAAGACTCTGTCTGCATAATGTAGAATGGTCCTGCCTTACTTCTCCATGTTCATTTGTCAATTCCTGGTAACATTCCTGGTAACATTCCTGGTGCATTCCATTTGTCAATACAGAAAAATATACACATCTTCCATGCCATTGTAAAGGCAAAATTATTCAACTTACATTTTTTTTCATCCCATCATTATTATTAGTCTTTATCTCTTCAATTTCAAAGAAGAATGTAACTCTCTGTTAAAGAAAATTAGACTTGTATACAGGTTAAGTCAACTAAAACTCATTTCGAGTGGAGAAAAAAATGAGTAGGAGGCCAAAGGCATGTGGCTCTATTTTTATCCTTTTTCCTCATCTTTGTACAAGGAAAAATTGAATCACTGAAGTGAGGTATCAGGTTCAGTTTATAATGTTGATCAAATAAAGTAAAATCCTGACTCCCTGGTGCCTGGGATGAGATTCTGTGATGAGCCTCTGTGAGGCTCACAGCACAGGTGGCTATGGTAGTTTCAGAAGATTGTTGTGCTCTCCTTTTCCCTTAGGGTATGTCAACACAGCATGCTTATTTTAAAATAAGCTATTTCAGATTTTTTTTTCCAAAATAGTTTATTTCAAAATAGCACGTCTACACTCAAGGGAAGCCTCAAAATTAGTCCAAGATAGGCTTCCCTAATGTGGATGTGTTACCTCGAACTAGAACCCCAAGAAGCACTGGGGAGTAATTACTCTGAATGGCTCTGGGGAGGAGCTATTTCGAAATAGCAGCAGGGGAGCGTCAACGCTATTGCTATTCTAAAATAGCTGTTTCGGAATAAGCGTTGTTCTTCATGGAATGAGGTTTACAGATTTCAAAATAAGCCATCAATTATTTCAAAATTATTTCAAAATAACAGAATTACTGTGTAGCCACTCGCATTGTTATTTTGAAATAACGGCTGTTATTCTGAAATGGTGCTGCTGTGTAGATACACCCTGGCTGCGTCTAGACTGGCAAGTTTTTCCGCAAAAACAGCTGCTTTTGCAGAAAAACTTGCCAGCTGTCTACACTGGCCGCTTGAATTTCCGCAAGAACACTGACTTCCAACTGTCTGAAATCAGTGCTTCTTGTGGAAATACTATGCTGCTCCCGTTTGGGCAAAAGTCCTTTTGTGCAAAACTTTTGCACAAAAGGGCCAGTGTAGACAGCTCAGATTTGTTTTGCGCAAAAAAGCCCCGATCGCGAAAATGGCGATCTGGGCTTTTTTGCGCAAAAGCGCATCTAGATTGGCACGGAAGCTTTTCCGCAAAAAGTGATTTGTGGAAAATCATGCCAGTCTAGATGTAGCCCCTTACATAAACCAGAGGGCCTTTCTTGGGCTGCTGTAGGGGCCATAGCACTACAGGGTGACTATAACTCAGAGGTATTAAAACTGATATTATGGCAACTGAGTGACAAAGCTTTTATTGTTCACAGGTACTTAACTGCCTTCCTCACCCAGTGACAAGTACTAGTATAAAGCAAACCCGCCCTCACTTGTAGGGGATGGAAGTTGGTGCCCACGAACAGCATTTTTACACTGTCAAACTTCTAGTGACACAGCTATGTTGATGAAAGAGCTGTGTAGGGCAGACATATCCTAAGTACCATGCTGAACATTGAACTGAAGCTTATGCTCATTGCAAAATATATGATATGCATTAAATGGTGTTTCCCTGGAATGTCCCTTTAAAATAAGGCATTGCTTCTTGTTTTTCATATATTTTCCCTTATTTCCATCCAACAAAATTGGTTACTCTAAATGCTGTCCAGAATCAGCCTGTATATAAAACACTTGTACATATCTACAGAGCAGTGGGCTTACTAAATTAACTAGATCGATATTTCGAAGTTTTCTATATGTACAAAAAAATTGATCTTTCTGATCTACCAAACATAGCAGCTTACTTAACCAAGATCCACAGCGCAATGTTTGCTATGAAAATGACAATAGTTTTTCCTAAGACAATTAAGCTTGATTAAACACACTTATTTTTGAAATGAGCATATATTTAATGTGTTGTAATGCTCATACTGTCCGTTTGCTCTCCGTCATACTCATGACGTTGGGCCGACAGCCTTGCCCACCCCCTGGTCTGGGGAAAGGGGACAGCTCCATGCTTCTGGAAGGAGTGGGGCCTCAGGGAGAAGGAGATGGAGCTGGGGGCAGCAGTCTTTCAGCACCAACTGAAGCAAGCTGCCCCCCTCCCTTCTCTGGCAACCCTCATAATTGCCCAGAGCATGCCACAGTGGTGCCCCAGTGGCAATTCGAAGGGCGGTGGCTGGAGCCCTGGTCTCTTTTGAATCTCTGGGCCTCTCCATTGGTGGGCCTACGCTCATGTCTCAGCTTATCTGCATTTTTCAGAGGGGAGACTTTGATTGCAGTTTTAGGTACATGTACAATGCAAAAGAGATCTCTTCACAGCAAATCAGTTCCTGGGGGGGAGGAGGGACGGCAGAATAAAGATGTATCAGCCCATCCTTGTGCTATCCTAACATTCAACAGCTGCTACAAATAGTATGGTCAATCTCACCATTAGAAGGTGCCACATCAATAGCTCCATGTCCTTAGATGCTAGCCCTAAAGGATGCCAATTGGCAGAGAGACCAAACATTTATTTTCAGAAATGCCCATGGCAGTTTGAGGCAGCTGGTCACTTCAATGTGAGTTCACTGTACAAAACAATAAATCTTTGGCTCGATGAAGAGGTGTTTATCATATCAGGGAGGATAGTTGACCTTGTCCTCTATGTCAGTTAAGATTAGTGTTTTTTGTTTCTGTAGGCACAAGGGAGGCCTGGAAAATAGCATTAAATAAACTGTCCATAGTAAGTGGACAACATTTCAATAGTAGCTGTCAAATACTAATGTAAATAAATTATTTTAAAAGGTTGCTATACTGTATATCATGGTATTACATTCTAAAAGGGCAAAACTGAATACACATAAGAATGAATGGATATAATTTCAATATCATTTAGAACAGTTCTTAAATCAAGTGACTCCACTTTATTAAAGACTATTATAACTATTAAAATATGCTTACACTTTCTGGTAGATTGGCACTACTGCAATCGATGCAGTGAATGTCAATTTACCGGGGCTGGGGAAAACATACTAAATCAATGGGAGAGCACAGAGAATATCTTATTGCCTCTATATAAAACCATGGTTCGCTCACATCTTGAATACTGTGTACGGATGTGGTCACCTCATCTCAAAAAAAAAAATTGGCATTGGAAAAGGTTCAGAAAAGGGCAACAAAAATTATTAGAGATTTGGAACGGGACCCATATGAAGAAAGATTAAAGACGTGGACTTTTCAGCTTAGAAAAGAGGAGATGAAGGGGGGGAGATGATAGAGCTCTATAAAATCATGACTGGGGTGGAAAAAGTGACTAGAGGAAAGTTATTTACGTATTTCTACAATATAAGAACTAGGGGTCACCAAATTAAATTAATAGGCACCAGGTTTTAAACAACAAAAAGGAAGTTTTTCTTCACTCATTGCACAACCAACCTGTGGAACTCCTTGCCAGAGGATGTGGTGTAGACTAGAACTTTAATAGGGTTCAAAAAAGAGCTAGATAGATTCCTGGAGGTTAGGTCCATCAATGGCTTTTAGCGAGAATAAATAGGAATGTCCCTAGCCTCTGTTGCCTGAAAATGGGTGACAGGAGAGGGATCACATGAGGATTACCTGTTGTTCTTCCCTCCCTCTGGAGCATTTGGTATTGGCCACTGTTGGCAGACAGGATACT